AAACAAAAGCAAGCTTTCCAGTCACCCTTCGAGGTATTTTCTTCACTTCTGTAATGGTAGTATTGATTAAATTCGAATGTCACATGATAGGTACTTAACATTATTTAATATTTTTTATTGCCTAAATGATGGATGGGGTGATTTCGGAGGAACGTTCGTGTTTTTATATTTTTTGAGTTTTTTATACAAACATCTAAACAAAATATCAACGGGGTTGAAAAATTTCTTCGTGTCACATATTCGATGAGACGCCATGTGGATACCATTAAATAACAAACGATTACTTATTATTGTCTCTTACTATTATTATTAATATATTTTTTTATTTTTTTGTAAATAATTTAACGTACTATAAAAGAACAGTCAATAAAGAAGAAATTAATCAATCCTTGGTATAATGACAACTCATCACTACTTTATATTAGTCTGAATTAGTCATCAAACAAAGAGTTAATTTAATTTTCCAGTTAATATATAGCTCGTGAATCGGTATGATTGTTGTTGTTTTCGTTAAAAATTTATAAATGTAAAAAAAAATTATTCCACAATATCATATGATTAAAAATAATTAATTATTTTTTTGTTTACCGATTTTCTCATTATTTACCCAAACAAATAAAAATAATAAGGGCATTTTTCGATTTGTTTAAATTTATATTAAAAAACGAAAACCCGCACTTTGATCATTAGACGTTAGCACTTGACCTATCCACACGCCCATTGATATTCCATGTATGATTACAATTAATACGCAATATAAATGTGTTTTTTTAAATTCATAGCTTTTAGTCATCATCATCGTTTCGTTTTTTTGGCGTGAGCGACACGGTGCGCATTCGTAATATTTTAAACCGTAATATTTTAAATGCAAAATAATTCATGGGTTTACCAGAGCATTTGTTTACCCTGAATAATATTAAATTATAATTTTTTCGTTATAAAATGTGTTCTTTAATATATGATTTGAGCACGAAAAAATAGTAAAAAAAAAAAAATTTTGAAAAAAATTTAGAAAATATATTCATATTGGGTTTTATTTTTCATAGCTAATCGTTAAACATTAAAAGAAAAAAAATTGTATTCATTTTTACAAAAATCACTAGATTTTACCTAAAACAACGAAATATGACTTGTAAAATAATAAAAAAAAAAAAACATATCATTGTAAAGAAATATAAAATAATTTGTAAACATGTGTTTGATACATTTTCCTAACTCATAGTTATATTTTTCACTGTAGTGAACAATATACGACTGTAGAAATAAATATAGAAATGCTCACAAGTCACGATTCTAGTGACTAACTGTTAAATTTTTGAAATGTATGAAATCTTACTGACTACATTGTAATTAAATTATAATTATGGATAAATTCGTATTTCTGATGTATTTAAAAAAAAAGATAGTAATATTATACCTGAGAAAAAAAGAAAAAAAGCTGAAGATACCATGTTACGTGTTGTGTAGCATAGGGGAAAAACTTAATGGTTGATTGACTATGGGCGAATATTTCATGAAATATAGTAAAATTTTGTATAAGTTAAAAAGTACAATATTGTGTTAATTTTTTCTACTTTCGGAAAATCTTGCATTAGTTCATAAAAATGGAAAACCAAATCGTTCATATTTCATAAATATATTTAATCTACTACATCTGCGTTTTCTGTATTCAGACTATTGTATAACACATTTTACTACATAATAAATGTGAACGATTTGTAGTGATATTATTTTATTCAGTATGTTTATTTGATTTTTACATTATCTATAAGAATAATTCATAAAATACCGTAGTGTAAAACGGGATTCGTTTAAGCATAAAAAGTCTTAAAATAATAAAAAGCAGACTCCAGGCGGGGTGAGATACATTGCTCGGGCGATACATAGGGATGGGTTAATGGTATTGGTGTATTGGATTTTTAAACTTGAAAACAATGTACCATTGCTTTCGAAAAAATATTTTAAATAAAAGAGATCCACCTGATCAATTTATATTTTTAAAGATGATTGATAAGAACCTGATGAGTATAAGAACGTAATTTCTTATTAAGGTAGGTTGAACTCTTTTATTGTTCTAACTTTCGAAATGAAAAAAGTACATAATAAAATATTAAAAAATTAAATTAAAATGAAAAATGATAAAATTAATAGTTAATACTTGTAAATTAATTTATAAATAAATAAATAAATAAATAGCTTATATAAATATATATATATATAAATTAATTAATAGTTTATATAAAAAAATACATATAAAATTTGAGAAAATAAACAGTTTTAAGTTTTTATAAACATTACAAACGTAATTTAATATTTTGAAAATATATCAGTAATATATATGTATAAAGAACTTCACATTACATTTGCAAGACTTTTAGTCAAACCAAAATTATTTTACCAACATTTTCGAAAAAAAAATCATGCAGACACGAAGATTTCTATTTTCTATTTATAGTTCAAAAAAGAATCTTTTGAAAATAATACCATCCATAGCAAATTGGGATAAAAGTATTCAGTGAAAATATCATGTCTTTATGATAGTTGTTTTTCGGGTTAGAAAACAAAAATTCGATTTAGTCAAAAACTAGTATGCCGTACATTTTGCCGTATTTTTATTACTTTTTATCAGTTTTTTTCAATTATTAAGAAAACTGGTGAAAAATGCGTAAAACTACTCGTTTCAAAATAAAAACTAAACAAGGTTCTAGTCGAAATCATGTATACAGATAAAAAAAAAAAAAAAACCTTTCACTCAGAATCTAAAATCGTTAAAAAATATTAATATAATCATATATACTACGTATTTGATGCACAGTAAATATTTTGATAAACTTAGACACACATAATACAACGCCAATATCTATAAGCATACATATTATTATGGCCGCTTTATGCAAGCCTAGCGTTTATCCGTTTTTTAGTCAAATCGGCTGGTATGTCGAATGTATTGTTATACGACTGGAGGAGATACAGTTCGCGACGTCAACGGTCAATTATAACGCATGGAACAACAGTTGACAAATTACCATTTTAGTGCGAGTAACTTATAATCCGAACAATATCAGGTACGTCGTGCGTGTCAACTCCTCCTGTCATTCGGATCACCGTTGTTCAACGCTGTGGTCCAATAATCAGACGTATACATTTAATTTAATATATTTCACGTTTAAGTAATAAACATCATTGTGTTGCTCATTTGACAACTGTATATTTTGCGAGACTGACGATCCCGTGGAGTCCCACAACAGATAATAATCCGGTAACTTTTAAGTGCAAACTTAGTATAACCAGCCATATCGTAGAGATTCTATTGGATAACACTCTATCGGGCGGACATTCGCTATTCGCAATAACGAATATCGAATAGTCACGTTACGTCATAGCAGCCATCATCTTGTTGTTTTTGCCGATGGGAATCCAATTTATTTGTCAGGTATTGATATTGTTTGTTGTTGTGTATATACGAATGAATGTTTGTTCAATAATTTTTTAATGTCATGAACAGAACGTCATGACGACGTTTTCGAGATTATAAAAAAGTTGTGTTCAATACCATAAGGTCCACCAGTTAACAGATTATCGTTTTACATTATATAGAAAACCTCCAAATAAAAATAAACTTAACAATACGAAATCTCGTATAAACAATTCTAACCACTTAAAAAATAATAAGTAAAAGTCATGTGCTTAAAAAAAATAAGAAAGAAGATGCGGAAAATAGTTGACTCAAGAACTTTTATCCTAAGCTTTCTGAACCACGAAAAAAACCGTCGAAAATTGCAACCTACTACATTCCCTCTTTTGTGCGATTTAAACCAAACATTTACACAATTTACACACTTGAAAAACTACCTTGAAATCAGTGAATAATCG